TCTATTCTCTTTTGTGTAATCAAAATGCCACAACGTCCTAAATCATCAAGAGAAATTCAACCTTTATCTTTTACATTCATATAATCCATACACTTCTTTAACTTTGTTGAAATAGGACAACTTCTTTAATGGATCTCCATGCATTTCAACAAATAAATAACGTGCATTAAAAAGAGCAATAAAGGAAAAAAATTACAATCTTTTTCTTCTTATTTTCTTACTAAAGAAAGTGTTAAACTTTGCAACTGCAGTAGGATTGCAAACTATCTAGGAAATAAAACAATAATAATAATAATATCCATAGTACAACACTCTCTTTACTATCAAGTCTCACATAACAGAACACCCATTGACATTTTCATCACTGAGATCTCAAGGACACCAACGGTGCTGATTGAAAGTGATGACAATCTTGGTCCAGACCAGCCCACGTGTAGGGTGAAGATGGAACGTAGTAAGAAGGATACAATCTGTTATAAGCTGCAACACCACTTTCTGGATATAAAAGCCAATACTGACGTGTAGGGTTCACATTCACTGGGCCCACAAGATCTTGAAACTGCAATCCAGTGTGTGCAGGTGCACCAGTAGCTGCTTCCACTGAACTCAAACCACTGTTTCCATTCCCACCACCAAGGTGCAATTTTTTTCTTCTTTCTTTTCTTAGCAAGCCGCCCACCTTTCGCTTCCGAACACCCTCCGACGGCATCCATCCGGTAAACGAGGGTACTTTCCCGGCGAGTCATGCTGCTGCTTTTTTTTCTCACTGTTACCTTGGCAGAAGCATTTTTCAGTTCCCTTGTGCTTTTCCACGCTCTGTAGTTCTCTAACTTCATTTTTCTTTCTTCTTCTTCTGCTGGCTGCTGCTGCCCATTGCCGGAGATTTTCCCGTCATTCTCCGGCCAAATCTCGGCTTGTTTTCCGGCTCTGACGAGCTTCCTGAGAAGGGTCTCCACAGCAACACTTCCAGTTACTGTTACTTTGTTCAGCTGTGGGTCTATTGTTGCAGTGAAAACACCTACAAAGGGGAACCTTTTCTTTAGAATTCAAAATGAATCTAACTTATTTGTTATGCACTGTTTTGTCCCTTTCGTTAGACAATTTGGGATCTGTAAATTTTTCTTCTTTCCTGGTTCAGAATGCTATGTTGGAGTAATTACAACAGTGTAATACTCCTGCATGGGAAAAGAAGAATGCTCTCTGTAGAGTAAGAAAAAGTGTACGAAAAAAGAGTTGAAATAAATGAAATCTGAAGCTGGATTTGTGTTATGTTTTTCTAGCATATAATTGTGCAGTACGAGTACTTTCATGAGTTTTGTGGTGTAAAATTCTGCTTTCATACTTTTTGTTCAAAGAAATGTGATATAGTACCATCAATGCTCTTCAGAACTTTCTTTACTTTCCTCCTGGCACCTTCACATGGATTGAAACTTTTCAGAACCCTGTCTAGGAGCAAACGAAGCAAGAGAGATTACCTCACTAGTTTTTTAGAGTAGATTACAGGAGGGCAAATTTGAAGAGGCAAACACATGCATCAATAATACTGTTTCCTGTAATGTGGTAGGTCAGTAGTAGTAGTAGTAACCTATAGTTTAAAAGTTAAAGGTTGTGCAGCAAGTTGAGGAGGTTTTGCAGCCATTGAGAGAGGGAAGTGGAAGTAGTGGTTGAAAGTTGAATTGAAGGATTGAAGGGATTGAAGAGTTGGAAGAAGAGAAAGAGAAGTGAATGTGGGGCATGAAAAAGAAAGAAGGGTAAATGCCAAGAATGTACTTGGAGGTGTGCACTCTGTTGGGGAGCAAAGGTGCAGGCAAAGATGAATGGCTATCAAAGTATAATGTGACAATGACAGAAGGGCACACTGCTCCTACTGCATTATTTTGCAATAGAGCATGATTCTACTACAACCTTCCTTGTTTTTTAATATCTTCTTGTTGATGTGGTAGTGGTCAATTTTAAAACAAGAGTAAGGATACTATGAAAAATAGTGATTTTTACTTTATTTTTATAGGCACTCGTGTACTGTGATTATGTAATCCACTGTTTCTTTTTCAGGCTTGGCAATGTTTGGTTTTATTGTCTCTTATAATGTACTACTAGGCTTTTTTTTCATCTGCATGATATTAGTTTGTTGTCTGTAGGAGGAAGCTATCCGTTATGCTTATAGATAAGATTCTTTTTTGCAACTTTGTTAACTTCTTTAACTTCCCCCCCCCTTTCAAAATCAATTGGCATTTCCTATCATATCTTTTTTTATCTTTTTTCTGAATAGTAGTAACATCTTTTATAGATTTTATAATTTTCAGTTTAGATTGTTCTTAGCTATTACCCCCCATTACCCCCAGTGGGTTAGATAAGTTATCTTCAGTGTGCCTTCAGAAACGCATGGAGCAAAATTTAAGGTCCTCAATGTTGTCTATAACCCATTTTCTTATGTTTTTTATGAAGAAAAAAATAAAAAGGTATAAACAAAATACTCATCTTTTATGTACATAAAAATCACAACGTATTTCTTGGTGTCACTAAACTATTTTAATATTTCATAGTTTGACATTTGGGGGATTCCCTCTATTGGGTAGGAGGCAACACTAAACAATAAATAATGTGATCCCAAAGTTAAGATAAAGAAAAAGTGAAGAATATTTGCTGCTTAACAATTAAGAAGAAAAAAGGGCCATTCATATACTTATAGTTTTGAACACAAATCAATTCATTTCAACCAATTTACCTGGCAAGAACGTAATAGACTTGTGTGTTATCAAGTCAATCGATGAAGAAGTGACTTGCAGCAATGTAGGTGGAAAATGTCCAATCTAAGGCACTGCAAGATGAGGAAATTTAACATAACCCCTTGAACATTGGTTACAGTGTACTTTCATCTCCAGTGTCTACATGCCACATCAAAATCTTCACACGAGGAAAATCAGCATGTCATGTATTTTCACCTTAGAATGACATTGAAACCCAACACTCAAGCAATGCACATGATTCAGGTAAGACTTGACACACTACCTGATATTGATTTGCCATATGGAAACAACAACTCTCACTATAGTTATCTATCAAAACTAAACACAGATATTTGTGGTAAATGTTGCTGTTTTGGTAAATATTTTTTGCGTTAAAGTTTTTCCACTGTTCAGCATGCAGGATTGTGAAGAAATTATCTCAATAACTTAATTATTGAATAGAAATACAGTAATAGCTCTGGTGACTTTATGTTTTAGAAAATTAATGTAGTATTGGCGTTGAAATAAGTCAGTAAAATACAAAGTATAAACTTCATCATGAACGAGTCACTTGGTATATAAAATTGAAATATTACTGAAAGGTCTGGTTAGGTAATACATTTCCAGCAGAGTTTTAACAATGGTGAAATTGAGGATGACTAGGACTAGACAAAAGCAATGGTTCACTGCCCATCCAAAACTGCACTTTTCCAAAGCATGAGGTAAGCTTGTTAAGACCTTATAATAGTAATATGTAGTAATATGGTAGGTAAACTCAATAAATCGCTTCGCCTATCAAGAGTTGAGACCTTCTAAAGCTTTTATTTTCAAAAAATGCTTTTGGTCTTAGTCTTCAATTTTTTTTTATGTCAAATTAGAATGTCCATTTTCAAAATTTAAAAACATTTTTATCGTGAAATTTTAAAAGTGAATAAATATAATTATTTTAACTTTTTAAAATATATTTAATACATTTTATGTTAACATTTAAATTGTTTTTACTATTTGACTCTTTATATTTCTGTTTCAACGTCGAATGAAAAACATATTTGGTATGTTAAAAATATTTAATATAATTAAATTTAAAAACACAAATGAATGAATTTTAAAACACAAACATAATTAATATTTTTTTTACTGTTATCTTAAAAAAAATACCATAAAAAAGTATAACATTTACCCTTTTGTGTATTGACAACAAATATTTGATATTTTCATAAATAATGATGATTTATTTATAATATATAAAACAATGATGATTTAACCATACTTTTCTTGGCCAAGTTATTGAAATAAATCGACTTACATTGTTGGTTAAGTTATGACAAAAACTATCATGTCTTGAAAACCGCTTGTTTATTTTATTATCCTTTATCTAATTCAGAAAAGCAACAAAAGCATACCGCAATTTGTACAAGTAAAATAGATTAGGAGGGGTAACGGGAAATTTACCATTGATTTAAAGTTCTATATTACAACCAATAGTAGTAATGAAACACATCAAATATCTAACAATACTGCAGAGTCATTCTGCTTATCCAGGGTGTAACACTAATACTCCAAATTAAAGGCCGTTTTAATTTCAGCTACTCAATGTTATTATCTTCTCTGCTTACCACCTCATGTTCTTCTTTGTCAACTTCTTCAATCTTGTCTCCTGTGCTGGAGCATGCTTGACTCTGAGGCCTCCTGCAGCTGCAATCATCATTGATGTTGGTGCATTTAATAAAAGAAATACAACGTCATCTGGCAAGAACTTTTCAAAAAAAGACCCATAAGTTGTAGAGTCAAATGATTCTTCCAAGACTTACCCCCAAGTTTCTTAAGCTAGCAGTAACATCCTCTTGTTGCTGCTGAAGGGTAGCCCTCAAATCTTGAAATTCCTGATTTTGATTTCATAAACAAAGTTTCAAGCGACAAAACTTAGTTGACAGAAAAAACTTAAAAGCATACTTACTACTCGAATTTGGTCTCCTCTCCCAACTTTAGTGGTTTTTCTTAAGTTTTCTGACCAGCTCCTGCATGAAATGAAAAGCTTATTAGAATTACATATAAAATTAAGAGTGAAGCTGAAGTACATCCAACCAGCAATTAATAAAAGAGAGTTCGCTACGTATCAATATACCAGAAAACACGAGTACAGTAAACCTATTGTTTCATTAAATCTTTAGTTATAATACTTTGTGACCGTGTCTGAACTAAGCAAAATAATGATAAATACAACCCATGGACCATAAAAAATCCTTTCATTTACGAAAGTAGAGCAAATAAATGACGTGTAAATGCATATCTACCAGCATAATAAAATATCAGATTTCTTGTTGGTTGTTCTACTCTGAAGGTTAAGTGTATACGCGCATCCAATAAATGGATTTTTCACCAACTTACTAACTTAGAGAAAAAACAAATATATTTTAGGTCCTACATAGTATACATTTATTACACACTATGAACTTGGTCCAATAGAAAATAAAAATGTACTAGTTACACAAAGTTCTTATTGCCTGTCAACCAAAACCAAGAAATAGTGGTGAAACTACTATGAAATATAAGGATCAAATTGTAATTACTTGTAACGACTGAATATAATATATTCAGTCTTCATACATGTTCTTGGAATTTGGGCTAAGAAACTAATACCAACCTCATAGAATCAATGTCAAGGTAAGGGCTTTCCACGTCCTGTGAAGACTATATGACACAGTAGCTAACTCGGAAAGCACAATCAATAGTTGTATGACCACCGTTTTAAATATGATAATACAACCTGATTTTATACTTGACAGAAATACTAAAAAAACAACGAAAGGAATTACAGATAAAATTGAAGTCATGTTTACGCACACAATCACACCATCAATATAGAAGCAATAAAGAATAAGTAAAATGTAAACAATGGAAGATGATGGCATAATGAATAGAAAATAATATAGCAAATTAGATAAAAAAATTAGCATAATGTGACTGGGAGATCTAAGGAAGTAGAATGAACAGAAACATAGATAAAAATAATCCTCATACAAATGTGAAATATAAAGAGATCAAAACCAAGGTACTTTGTTGAATGAGGATGAGTGTTTTTTTTCAAATCCTCAAAACTAAAATTTGTGAAACCAAAAAGCTCCTGTTTTAATCGTGACATTCTCATTCTCACCGCAAAGGAACTCTTGCATTTTGATACATGAAGCAAGGGTCAGGACATAGAATTTTTCTTGGAACAAACATAGCTTACAAAAAATAGAAGTGAAGTAGGACACTATAAAAATTGGAATTTATTACACAAGAGCATAGAAACAAAGGAATAGAAAAGGGAGGGAACTTAAGGAGACGAATAATGAAACAGAAAAAGGAAGACAAGAGTAGCCAACCATACATGACTTGTAATATGTAAGCGTGAAATGAAATACTGGAAAATGAATTGGGGAAATCTTGTTTAAGATGAATTAACAATCCAATGCCGTTTAGATTGAGAATAATAAGTTTGTGACAGATGTAAAATCTAGTAATATAGTTATCTGAATATCACTTTCTATTACACAAGCGACACTCAAGGGTGCACCGTACCAACTCCAGAACTCCTTACACTTGTTGAAAGCAATGGTTCACCAGGTGATCTTAGCATTTCTAGCATTGACAGAAATCAAAATACAAACTTCAGTGTTAAGATAAGGATAAGGAAGGCCAAGGCTTTAAATTGCAGACCCAAAGGTTTCCTTTCAGATACACAATAGATTTGGCACAAGAAATGCCTAATCAAAGTTAATTATAAAATTAAAAACATATGTTATGTAATTGTCAGGCGAGTGTTGAACAACCAATTGGTACATTACAGTTGGTGCCATTTCCCACGTCAGTACATGGTTATGCATACCCAATATAAGCATTTAACCAACACATCAACAATGAGTTGATACACACATTGGAACAACTACACAACATAAACACATATTGCCGTTTAAAACATCAAAAATCATGATTGCGAAAATAAGTTTGCATATCATAGACTGTTTCATGTGCACCCTAAATGAAACTTTATTTGATCAGAATACATGTCCTGACAAAGAAAACAAATAACAGAGAAAAATTACGAAAGAAAAAACAAGTTGCTAGTTTTCTACAAGCAAATCAAACATAATAGCCTCAAATGCAATTACAAAAAATGGAAAAATACTGTTACACTATTGGTATAGCTAACATGGAGAAAGACGTCCAGAGTTATTCATGATCTAAAAGCATCTACTAAACTAAAACAAGTTTTACCGTGTTGCTATACTATGGGTCTGTTTGGACATGTTTATTCATAAACACTTTTAGTAGAGAAAAATAAAAAGGAAAAAACAAAATGATTTTCTCAAAAATACAAGTAGTTTATGCACAAGTTAAAAATAAGAATTTAGACAAGCTACACAAAAGAACTTTCACAAATTGGGTTACGTATAACTAATTGTAACTTACAGAAAAACTCTTTTCATTTTTTTTTTCTTTCCTAAAAAAATGTTTAGGAAAAAGTTTGCCCAAACATACCCTATATGAAAGGGAATGGTAGACTTAAAATGAACAGCATGAGAGAAAGGTGGGAGTGGAAAAAATGTGATTGTTAAATAAGAATGTGTAACCAATGAGAAAGGACGATATACATATTGATTATACACATACAGAAAAAGAAAACCAGTAAGGTTGGGATACCAATGATAGAGAAAAGGATGAGAGAAGATTAGATATGATAATTTGGACACGTACAAAAAGATCACAAGAGACACGCAAGCGAAAAGAGTAGGTTTTGGCACCACCAAATAGAGTGGATTGCATGAATTTTAATCCAGTTAAAAAACAAGAACAGGGAAACCAAGAAGAACTTCGGAGGAATTTGTCAAGGGAGACCTCCTGATAAATATTTTCTTGAAGCTTTGGTTAATAACTGAGTTGAATGTTGTCGTGCGATATGTAGTCATCCTCATCCAGTATGATACAACTTGGTCCCAAAATGCCATCTTCAAAACTACACGAAATCATGGTTTAAATTGTGGGTTGCAATCGCAATGGGGACTGCAGTGTAAAGGTGTGTTTTGTCACCACAGCCATATTGCAACAGCAATTTACCACAATGTCAAAGACCAAGACGAAACTGCAGTTCAAAACTATGTCTGAATTTCAGGTCGGCAATATATGTTTAGAAAGAGGAAAAAAGTTGAGAAGTTTACATGACATTAAAAAAAATAAAGAAAATTCAGTTAAACATTAAGTTGGTGATACTTTATCATCTCTTTAATATATAATAAATTAAGCCATAGATTGGCTATACCAGAATAATCAATCATTTAATTTCTTCTATTTCAAGAATACACCCAAACACGCAAAGAACTCCAAGGAATCCTTTTCAGACGACACTATAAAGCAAAAATGCAGTGTTTCGCAAACATGGATCAATCATCATCATCATCATCATCACTTACATCGCGATAGACCTTGACTTGTGTATCTAATTTAAACCTCCAACTTTGCAAATCCTACAAATAGATCCAAAGAAACAAATTAAAAAAAAAATCAGCAGCAGCAGCAAACCAGCAGGTAGAATAGTGAACTATAATCTTCATAGCTAACAAACAATGCACAACTAAGAAAAAAAAAACCTGTTTCAAACTCTGAATTCTTCCGAGAAGCTCCGATCTCGATTCATTAAGTTCCTGGAACAACACAAAGAAGGTTTAGACGCGGTTGTGAGTTCCATTTTACGAATAAAAAGAAAATGTAAAAAAAGAAAAAAAAAATACCGCGATTTTAGACGTAACGGGAGTGACATTCTCCTTCTTCTGAAAAGGAAAACAAAAATTAGAAGGGATTTTGAGAATTGCAATAAAAGATTGAATTGGAAAAATGATGAAAGAGAAGAAAACACACGGTGGATAGAGGAAGAGATGAATCTGAGTTGGCCATTGAGGATGGGATGGAAGATTTGGGAAAAGAGGATTTGTTTTGTATTGTTTGTTGTTCTAGGGTTTGTCTGGGTATATATGAATTTGAAGAGGAGCGTGGTTTGGTGAGTGTTCCGAACAAGACTCTAGAAAGAAACACCAACGTTAAAGTCACAACAGACAACAAACGAGCACAAATTTTGAAAAAACAAGGATAAAGATATCCAATTGGGCGGGATTTGGAAATACACAACCAAGTTGCAAAGCCTCTTATTTATTGCTCCATCTTTATTTTACCCAACACGTATTTTTTACTATTTTTATATTTTATTTTATATAGCTTTTATGTATCGTTGTTTGCTTTAATTAAATTTTGTAAGTTTCTTTTATAAATTTATATATTTTTAATTGATTTTTGTTGTTTATTAAGTACTTATTATTTAACTTTTTTATTAGTTTGATACTATCATAATTAATTTTTCTATTAAAATTTATATACATATAAACTAAAAAAAATTGGTAATTTTGATTTATCCCCGTACATTGATGGATAAGAAAACACGAAGAATAGTCAAACAAGAGCACTTTTTACGATAAAGTTCAAATTTAAAAGCAGTTTTTATCTGATAATAAATATAAAATTATTTCAAAACTGAATAAATAAATTGATATTTTAAAAATATCAATTTATCTCTAAATTAATGTCTTGATAAATCTCATCAAATTATATACCAAATTCTATAATTCATATTTACTTTGCTTATGATGCCATCTTTCACACCATTAACATTGTCCTACTTCTTTTACCTTTTAGGCTTGTGTAGTTCTTCATCTTTCACTCTTTTTTTTTTCACTTTTTTTTTTTTAAAATGATTGTTCTTATATGGTTCTTCCTTCCTAGCTTTATGACCTCAATGCTAGTTATAGGCTTTTTTTTAGACAAAAACCTTTATTGTTTAAAAAATTACAATAAAATTTATTTTTAAATATATATCTTACTTGAGAGAGACTTTCACAAGGAAAGGAAACAAATAAATGAACTGATCTTATATCAAAAGTATGATACAATATCTGTCTTGAGAATAACTTTTACTTTAATTTAAAGAAAAGTTAAGAAACATGATATTAACTTTTCGATGACAAAATTCGCTACATAAATAATAATATTTGTACATAATATATATTTGCAGATAATAGTAAATATTTAAATATATATTTAAAAACACAACAGGTGTTTGAAGGACAAAATTCGCTATATGAATAATTAATATTTATAAATAATATATATTTATGGATAATTTAATATTTATTTATAAACCAATTAGGTGTAAATATTGTATTATTTATATGTATTTTTAGATATTCTATATTAAAAAAAATTGAAATTACCTTTTGTTCCTATTAATAATTATATAAATACAAGCATGCGTTAAAGTAATGATTAAAGGTTCTGTTATCCAACCACATCAAGCAAAAAGTAATATAACATAATCATAATCATAATCATAATCATACAATTCATAACATTTTAATAATCATAATTTCTACTTACTTTAATTAAATTTATTTATATATTAAACTCATTTAACATTAAACTAAAACTGCACCGAAAGAGAAAAATTGCCGTGTATTTGATCTCGTTTGATACTCTGTCAACCAGTCAAAACTCCAATCCAATTCTATTATTACAGCTTAACATAATAAATCGACAAAGACAAAGGCTTCGTTTTCATTGATGATTATGAATGGAACAACGTTACTCGATGTAAGATTAATAAATGGTGAAGATTTGTTTATATTTATGTTAGACTAAATAGTCTTTTTTGTGTTATTAGAATTAACTTCGTCAGAAATAATTAAGCAAAACATATTTATTATTAACTGATTAAATTTTTGTAACAAAAGTTGACAATAATATGAAAAACTTAATACTGACATGGATAAACGAACAAAAGTATTTGTTACAGTTGCTTACTTGAAAAACAAAAGGTTGCTTTCAGAAAAGAAAAACAAAACCTTATTATTGAACTTGTGATTCATTAATTTATGAAGAGAAAAGGAAAATTCTTTCTTGATGGAAAAGTAAAAAGAAGAAAAGAGAATTATGGAAATGTGGCCTTGAAATTGCAATCGGTAGATGCAGAGTGGAAGAAGCAGAGGAAGCTCTGTGTTGTGTTTCTGTGAGTTCCGAGCGGAATCAGTTGCGGAGCAATGAGTCAGGAATCGTTTATATATAGCTTCGTGGCTCGTGGGACAGTGGTGTTGGCTGAGTACACCGAGTTCACCGGAAACTTCCCCGCCATTGCAGCTCAGTGTCTTCACAAGCTTCCCTCTTCCAACAACAAGTTCACTTACAACTGTGACCACCACACCTTCAATTTTCTGGTTGAGGATGGTTATGGTAATGTCCCCTCCCAATCGCTTGATCCTATGTTTCTATCAAATGACATGTTTTTTGTGGACCAAAGATGAAAGTGGGTTTTGAATCGCTAGTTTTTATATGCTGGATCTAGTCTTGAGATGAATGTCGCTATAGGGTGGTTGAGTGAGCATAAAGGTTTCTCTTTTTTGGGTTTTATTTCTCTTTTGACTTAGTTTTCTTGGTGGGTTTTGTTTGTTTTTTTATGGGTTCTTCTTACATTTTACGAATTTTTCCTTTGATTGCTGAAATGGAGTCAACTAATGAACGGTGAGAAGCAGAATCTGGGTTAAGTTCAATTTAAGGGTTGTTAATATGCTTCAAGTGTTTGATTTTTCCTCTTGGTGAATGATGACACTCATCTAAAAGAAATAATTGTACATTCATGATATACATTCACACCTGATTTCAATGTCATCTTTGATGGAATGTTCGATCATTGTGACTACCCTTTAGAGGTACGTAGTGATGCAACAGAAAGTGTTCAGAGAAAGCCTAATCTTGTGAATGCACAGTTGTGTGTGATGTTCCTTCAATTTGGCCTTTTCGCGACTGAAGACTTTGCAAGTTTCAATTCCAACAATGCCTAATTTTCTTTGTATAGATAACCAATAATGCAACATCTAGATTGATGTTTGTGAGTGTGTTTGTTTGAAATCTGGTGGTTGGTCCAATTTCTGAGATTTAAAACTGTGTTGTAGTGCAATGACTATTTCAGAGCTTTACATTTGGGCTTTCTGTAAATTGCAGCATACTGTGTTGTTGCCAAGGAATCTGTTGGCAAGCAGATCTCTATTGCTTTCCTTGAACGGGTGAAAGCAGACTTTAAGAAAAGATGTGGTGGTGGAAAAGCAGCTACAGCTATTGCTAAGAGTCTGAACAAGGAGTTTGGGTACACTAACTTGTGTTATAAATATTTGATGATGTTTCGAATATCTTAATGCTTAGGCAGACAATTTGTATACAAAGTTAAATAATATGGATACACATTTGCAGACCAGTTATGAAAGGGCACATGAAGTATATCATCGATCATGCTGAAGAGATTGAAAAGCTAATAAAAGTGAAGGCTCAAGTTTCAGAAGTTAAGAGTATTATGTTGGAAAACATAGACAAGGTACTGTATAGTTCAGGAGTAAGGTTTTTTCCATTAGTATTTAGTATTTAGTCATCACCTAATTCATATGCAGTTGTGACTATGCATCTCGAAATCCAAGTGTGAATTTAAATTTATTTTGGATAAATATGAAAAAGTAGAACATTATATAAAGAAAAAAAATTCATTAATCTATTGATGTAAGGTTCTTGATAGAGTGATGTCAGTTCCTTATCGGTGTTGTATCTCTTTTTGCGTAGTATCTAGAAAAGTTCACTATTACCATGTGTATCTGAATACTTCATTATGTGTTTTTAGGCCATTGAAAGAGGAGAAAATCTAACTATTCTTGCAGATAAGACAGAGACATTGCGTTCACAGGTGAGTAAAGCCAACTAAGATTAGATGATTTTTTCTTCTTCTTTAACTCATGCTTTCAAGGCTGAGGAATTTCTAATTTTCAGGCTCAAGATTTCAGAAAGCAAGGAGCACAAGTTCATCGAAAGATGTGGTATCAGAACATGAAAATTAAACTAGTTGTTCTGGGAATTTTGTTGTTTTTGGTATTGGTTATCTGGCTTTCTATTTGTGGTGGATTTGACTGTACAAACTAGCACTGGTTGAAGGTTTCCAGGTAGGATTTTTTGAGATGATGTACAAGTGAGCAATTTAGCTTATGTGGTTGTGTAGGGTATTGCTTCCTCCACCCTATCATTTTCTTTCTCCACCCTATCAATTTATTTAATTTTTGCTTTTACCAATTATTTAAAAGATACTTCCGAAAAACATCATCTGGAAAAGAAAAATATGTTTCTGGAAAAAGTTTTCAGAATTTTTTTTTTGGAAAATTTTTTTCTGTAATTTTTTTTCGGAATCGATTCTTTGGTGTTCTGGAATCGATTCTTTGGTCGTTCTGGAATCCATTATCCGGACCAACCACCTTTCCAAATGCTTCAAATAAAACTTCCCAATTGCCAGTCGTGTACATTGCAGAAAAGTTTTATGAACATTGGGGCTCAAAATCTTGGTCAAAACCCTAATGGGTCCATGCACTATTTTAGGCCCAAAACTTAAGAAAATGCTAAAATTTATTTAAAATAGTGATTTTATGTGTTTTTAACACTTAATAATCCTTTGAAATACCAATTGTTTTCTTTAAAATTATTTAGATAATAACTAAAAATTTGGGGGGAACTATTTGGTCGATAAATAGCTTAATCTATCATGGTTTTAGAGAAGCTTTAGAATAAATTATAAAATATTGATTTACAGGATTTACTATTTTATAACTAAAATAGATTATTTCAGCAGGTTGATCAAATTGAAATGGATTTTTTCGATATCATTTTAGTGATTTTGTAGCTTTTTCATACAACTTTTGTTGTAGTTATATCAATAAATATATAGAAAAAAGGGTTAAACTGGACTTTTCTAGCTTAAAGAAGATTTTCCTAAAATTTCTTAAAAATCATATATATATATATATATATATATATATAACAGGTCTTAGCCTTAATTCTAGGTAATTAACCAAGTTTTCGAGTAATTTAGTAAATTCAAATAAAATTATCTTTAAAAAATAGAAAAAAAAATGTTAAAATATGGTTCTATAATCTATAATTAATTTTTTAATTAAGAGGATTGGAATTTATTATGAATTTTTTAATTTTAATGGCCTTATAGTGAAGGAATTAGAGCATTATAGTAAATTCACAATTCTTTATCTCTAACTAAAATTCA